CTAGTAGATGTCTTCCAAGTTTGTTAAAATAAAAGCCATAGCGTCAAAATTGGCCCCGCCCCAGGGGTCATTGATTTTTTCTGAAATGCATATAGTAAAACTTTAAAAAATCATCTTGTGAAAATCCAAAAAAGGTAGACCTTAGATATTTTGCAGGACACATCTTCTAGTGGATGTCTACCAAGTTTATTCAAATAAAAGCCCTAGGGTCAAAATTGGCCCCGCCCAAGGGGGTCATTGTTATTTCTTATTATATGTATATAGTTAAAACTTTAAAATCTTCTTGCGACAATTCAACAGCACTATAGATTAGATATTTGGCATAAAACATCTTCTAGTGTATGTCTACCAAGGTAATTCAAATAAATGCCGTAGGGTCAAAATTGGCCTGGCCCCAGGTGGTCATTGATTTCCTTATATGTATATAGTAAAAATCTCTTGTGAAAATCCAAAAGAGCTAGAGCTTAGATATTTGGCATAAAACATCTTCTAGTTCATGCATACCATGTTTGTTGAAATAAAACACCTAAGGTCAAAATTGGCCCGCCCCAGGGGATAAAGGTCGACAGTTCAATCCCCAGCCAGGTCAAAGGTTTGTGTTCCTTGTCTCACCATTCACTTAGTGACAGACTGAACTGTTAAATAAAATGGCTGCCAAATCAAAAATCAGAAAAAACATCATAACAACATCTAAACCAATGGTTCAATTTTGAAATAATTTTACACAAACATTTCCGTGGTGACAGTGTACAAATATTGTTTACATAAAGTTGTCCCTTGTTTTCAAATTGTGCTTCTGTGTTGAAAAGGGGCTCCCTTTGACCTTTTGACGTATCTCTTAGATGTGCGATCGAGGGCCCTCTGGGCTCTCTTGTTTTATCTTCTCTATCTCAAATCCATATATACATTTCAACAACAAACTCTGATTATTTTCTACACCCAAAACACAAAACTCAAGTCAAACACACACTATTTATTAACCACTTAATATACAAAATATCTTTTCACATGTTTTCACAAAATATAATCAGCATCGGAAAACAACTAAAGCTAAAACACCAAATATTTACAGATATCTGCCACAACAAAGCATCAACTATGTTATTCTTGACAAGACAAAATCACTCAATACAACTCGACCAATATCAACCAAATATATCTTACCAAAAAGATATAACTCGAACAACCAAATATATTACAACAACCAGAACAACTAATTGTTACCAATGAACCCTGATTAATTAAGATAACCACAATTAAATTCAACCAACGTCAGAAAAACATCAAAACTCCCATCAAAACAACAATATTCTCTTCTCTAAAACACAAACGCTACACACATTAGGTGTGCCTTCCCTATGCCCCTTACCTAGTTTTTTTTTAAATTTTGGCCCTCACCTTCCACAAATCTCGTATCCCCTTCCCTCCTTTAATTTGTATCAATTATTTGTTTTCTTTTATTTGCTTGTCGGTTACTATTATTTCTTTTTTAGTATAATTTAAGTGATTAGCCTGTCCGTGCTCTGTCTTGCGCCATGTCCTGTTTTTGTTTGGGGTCCTCCTAGTCTCCTTGCCACTGGATCTTTTGCGGGGTCGTGTGTAGTTTGCGTTCATTGAAGCCGCCTTTCCTTGTTGATTTTGTTTACTATATTTCCCTAAACCGATGTCAATTTCTCCCATCGCATGATAATAAAAAATATTCGCTAGTATAACGATTTGACATTTACATGTAAAGAGAGTTTATACACAAATGCGAACGGCAAAATTTTTGAAAAAACCTGTATATTAAAATATGATAGTTCCACTACACGTGTATCGCTGTAGAAAGACATTAACTTGTTGTGAAAAAATATATATCTACAGATAAACTGTATGATTATTCTTACAATGTGAAACCTTATAACTTTTGTCTTTGTGTTTTATTATTGTATTAATTTGCTGTCTCTGTATGTTTAAATTTTCCAGCACAGAAGAGAATAATAAAAACCCTTCGTCAAAGTAACAGTTATCTTTACTTTTAGATAACCTATCGAGAAAATCAGTTTTTTCTTTTACAATACCTTGACACTTGCCTGTATTTTTATGCCCCCACAATGTGGGAGCATATAGCGTTGCACTTGTCCGTCCGTCCGTCCATCCGTCAGTCCGTCTGTCAGTCCGTACGTCCCGAAATCTTGTGAACGCAACTCCTCTTAAACCGGATGGCAGATTTTGCTTAAACTTACAGGGATGAACAACCTTTATGTGAAGATGGTAGTAAAGGAAGGAATTTTTGCTGCGACCAAATTTAACAGAATTATGGCCCTTTGTTGATTTTTTTCACTATATACTATGTAGAAATTTTGTGAACGCAACTCCTCTTAAACCGGATGGCAGATTTTGCTTAAACTTCCAGGGATGAACAACCTTCAGGTGTAGATGGTAGTAAAGGAAGGAATTTTTGCTGCGACCAAATTTAACAGAATTATGGCCCTTTGTTGATTTTTTCACTATATACTATGTAGAAATTTTGTGAATGCAACTCCTCTTAAACCGGATGGCAGATTTTGCTTAAACTTACAGGGATGAACAATCTTAATATGTAGATGATAGTAAAGGAAGGAATTTTTGCTGCGACCAAATTTAACAGAATTATGGTCCTTTGTTGATTTTTTCACTATATACTATATAGAAATTTTGTGAACACAACTCCTCTTAAACCGTATGGCAGATTTTGCTTAAACTTCCAGGGATGAACAACCTTGAATGTGTAGATGGTAGTAAAGGAAGGAATTTTTGCTGCAACCAAATTTAACAGAATTATGGCCCTTTGTTGATTTTTATGCCCCCACAGAGTGGGAGCATATAGCGTTGCACTTGTCCGTCTGAGTGTCAGTCCGTCCGTCAGTCCGTCAGTCCGTCCGTACGTCCCGAAATCTTGTGAACGCAACTCCTCTTAAACCGGATGGCAGATTTTGCTTAAACTTACAGGGATGAACAACCTTAATGTGTAGATGGTAGTAAAGGAAGGAATTTTCGCTGCGACCAAATTTAACAGAATTATGGCCCTTTGTTGATTTTTTCACTAGATACTATGAAGAAATTTTTGTGAACGCAACTCCTCTTAAACCGCATGGCAGATTTTGCTCAAACTTACAGGGATGAACAACCTTAATGTGTAGATGGTAGTAAAGGAAGGATTTTTTGCTGCGACCAAATTTAACAGAATTATGGCCCTTTGTTGATTTTTTCACTATATACTATGTAGAATTTTGTGAATGCAACTCCTCTTAAACCGCATGGCAGATTTTTGCTTAAACTTACAGGGATGAACAACCTTAAGGTGAAGATGTTAGTAAAGGAAGGAATTTTTGCTGCGACCAAACTTTACAGAATTATGGCCCTTTGTTTGATTTTTTCACTATATACTGTATAAAAATTTTGTGAATGCAACTCCTCTTAAACCGGATGGCAGATTTTGCTTAAACTTCCAAGGGTGAACAACCTTTATGTGTAGATGGCAGTAAAGGAAGGAATTTTCGCTGCAACCAAATTTAACAGAATTATGGCCCTTTGTTGTTTTTTTCATTATATACTATGTAGAAATTTTGTGATTGCAACTCCTCTTAAACCGGATGGCAGATTTTGCTTAAACTTCCAGGGATTAACAACCTTAATGTGTAGATGGTAGTAAAGGTAGGAATTTTTGCTGCGACCAAGTTTAACAGAATTATGGCCCTTTGTTGATTTTTAGTTTTCAACTTGTGGCACATGTAGTCCAAAAAATATTTGACCTAGAGTCATAAGATTGACAGAACAGTGGTGTGTGGGGGCATCCGTGTCCTATGGACACATTTCTAGTTTTTCTTCTTCGTTTTCTATCATCAACATATGAAAATATATTACGAAAACACATTTAGGTGACACAAAAGCCATTATCTGAAGCTTTTTGTACTTAATTGAAATATAACTTAATCAAATTATCATATCGGCATTGACATTAACTTTAAACGAGTACAGTTTGCTCTCGCCGTATTGAAACGACTCTGTAACAAACATATGCATATTCAAAAGATCAGGGTATACTAAAATAAGTGAGTGTTTTTTCGGCCAAAGGCCGTCTAAAACCGGTTAGAATCCATATAAAATTTACAGGGAAGGACTGAAAAAAAATCATTGGTCATTTTAAAATAAACTAAATTGGCCATTCTAGAATCAAATGTAAAGGATCGTTCTTGCCATTCTTTAATACAATTTTCAGGATAGTTATCAAATAAAATGTTAAGGATATTTCTTGCCATTATAAAATAAAATGTAAAGGATGGTTTCTAAAATAAATTCTACAGGATAAGTTTTAACTTTCTAGTAAAATTGCTCTGATATTCTTTTTTTGCTCATCTTCTGTAGAAAACTATGGAAAATACAACACAGATTCATTTTTAAGATCGTTATCAAATTCATTTTACAAGTATATCTGTTTTTCAATAACAAATACATGAATTTTATGGTGAGAACACTTTGACAAAATCCCTTAAGAACGCACAAAACGGCAAAATAGAATATAATGCAAGTTCAGTTTGATTGAACCTGTTCATGGACGATACTAAAATGCAGGCCACTGTCCAAGTCATGTCATACGTGTTTTCATGTTCTTTGACATTGTTACATGTAATTGTGGTGATACATGTGTTTCCTTTTTTGTTTTTGTTCCCTACGGTAAGTATCATTCCTTTTCCATTACTTTTTCAGTTTTGTTTCCCCTTCAAGTTCCACGTCCCTTTGGCCCAATCCACCCATGCTTTTTGTAGGCCTTTTAAGCAATGTTCTTGTCTGGTGACCTTGTTGTTTTCTAAGAATTCTTATTTTGACCCTTCATCCGTGACTTGCCCGGTCCCCTGTTCTGTCTTGTAGCCTGCCTGCTGCTGGGCTAATTGCCTGTGTTGCTGCGTTTTGTTGGGGGTTTGTGTGGGGATTCGTTCATTCAATGCAACACTTTCCTATTGATCTTGTTATTGATGTAGATAAGCGAATTTGGAGATCAGGATTTGCTATCAAGGATGCCGATGGAGAGCACGAGTTTTGTTCAACATTTCCACCGCCAGAAACATACAAATCAAAAAGTTCAGAGATTAATATATATTTTCGAGTTTTGCATGGAGTACAACTTAATTTTGGATTAGTCAGGGGGCAAGATGAAGGATTTCGAATACAGTATAGAATATCAGACCATTCTCTTCAAAGGTACACAAATGACGAAGAAGAATATGGGTCATCAGGCGTGTATGGTAATATTTTTTGTATTTTCGAATAAATACTAAGAGGATATTTTTTCGTTTGAGTGAAATATGGAATATATTTTCACTCAACATGAAAATATGTGGCATTTTGTCATGTTGAGTAAAAATGTATACCATATTTCACGAAAGACGAAAAAATAACCTTCTTATTTAATTTCATTTACAAAGAAAAATGGTAACGAATTCCCTTGTTTGCTACGCAATTGCAATTGTACAGCACGCAGTAAAGATGCGCCTTGTTTAGCACGCGATTTTTGGCGCTACATTGTGACGTCACGTAAACAACTTTAAACGTATGTACAGTGTAAATTACTGAATTAAAGAAATTGGTGTTCGGAATTTATTTTCTTTGTAAGACCATTTTCTATCATTCTACTAGTAGATAGTTTTCAGAACAAAATTCAACACAAGTTGTTTTTTTATTTATCAGATTTTTTAAACAAAATGGCGAAAGATCCCTTAAAATAAATATCAGTTTTGACTCCGCCCACTTTCATATTTATACTTCATATTTATTTTTCACAAATGTGAAACATATTTGACTGATAAAGCACCATATTTCTTGGGTTAAAATAAATAAATAATTATATTGTTTTATCTGTAAAAGAAATACTGTCATATTTAATACTTTTGAAACGAATATTTTTAGGTAATTATCATAATAACAGCTACGTACTTATATGCTTAAAATAAGAAGATATTGGAAGCCTACCATTTTTGTAAATAATGCATAAGAATTCTTGAGAAAAAGAAATGTTACAATAATTGTAAAATATATTTATATTAAAGCCTGTTCAGAGCGTTTCCGAAAGTGCTATACAGTATTTTCTAAAGAGGTTTCATGGGACATAGCTAACACTGAATGCATTGAGCACAATGAACATCTTGTTACCGTAACATCAAGCAACGAAATGAATTACGTCCAATACTTACTACGAAGTAGGTTATATCAGCAAAATAGGACGGAAGAGAATGAAGCTGCTGATAAACAGAAATTTCTTGGAGCACATATTGGTATTTCTTCTTTATTTCCTACAGAATGTGATTCGTTTTAAGTATATCTTTCACACTCTACTTATAACAGCATGTTTGTGCACATTATGATTATGGTTTACTTATTGACTGAAGCAAAATACATACTATCCTTAGTATCCTATCTGTTTAGCCATATACATATATTGTATCGTTGTGTTTTTATAATACCATGTGACAAACACGTTTCAAATGAGACTCTTTCTAAGATTTTGTTTGGTCTAGTTATACATATACTAACCCTTTTATCAGAAGAGG